CGTAATTTTTTAAAAGCCTCTATTAAAAATAAATATGTCAAAATAAATATATAGAACTCAAGGTTATAGCAATTCATTTGTCTAAATCTTGATGTTCTGTGAATGAGGAAAAGCAATACCAGTTATGATGGCATGAAATCAATTTATAGTAGTTAGCCATATTTGTGAATATTTTTCCTTTTAAAAGACATAAATAAGTAAATCTTTTTTTTTTTGAGATGTAGTCTTGCTCTGTCATCAGATGGGAGTTCAGTGGCATGATCTTGGCTCACTGCAACCTCTGCCTCCTGGGTTCAAGCAATTTTCCTGCCTCAGCCTCCTGAATAGCTGGCATTACAGGCACGCATCACCACACCCAGCTAATTTTTGTATTTTTAGTAGAGACGAGGTTTCACCATGTTGGCCAGGATGATCTTGATCTCCTGACCTCATGATCTACCTGCCTCGGCCTTCCAAAGTGCTGGGATTACAGGCATGAGCCCTGCCAAATAAATCATTTATTGAGTCAAAATATCCTGCCATCTGTACTTTTTTCATGTTTGTTGTTATTTCGATTACTGGGGTTATTTATAATGGCTAAGCACATAGATTCTGGAGCTAGAGGGCTTGTGTGTCAATCTTGACTCCATACTTGACTCCACACATACTAGCATTGTAAACTAGAGTAAATTAACTACTGCTCTGCCCCATGTCCTTATTTGGAAAATGGAGCCAATAACAGTACCTGCTTTACAATATTATGACACTTAAATGGCTTAATATAAGTGAAGAACTTAAATTGCATCTGTTGTACGTTAAGTGCTACCAATTGTTAATATAAGTATTCTTAGTATCATGTGCTTATATGCTTGATTTGTTCTGCAGCTCTGGTTATAAAGGTTTTATTCTTTATGCTTTGGTTTTCTTGAGACTCTCTTTGATGAATTTTATATAATCACTGTACTTTTTGTAAGACTCTTTCTCGAAGTTCAGCAAATGATGGTTCATGACTGTGTCAACACCAGAAATTACCGGGGTAACTGTTGCTTCACCCTCAGAATTTTGGGAGGAGCAGGCTCCACAACGAGGGAATCCTCCATGACACCCACTGTCCCCATGACCATATTTGCCTCTACCTCTTTGTGTCCTTTCACAATCATCAAGATATTGTGATCTTGGCTTCAATTCTTTGGATACAAATCCTGAAGTGGGAAGGCTGGGTTAGATGGTAGTAAGAGATATCTGCCCTTCTAAGTTTATAGCAGCACGATTCACAGTGGCCACGATATGAAATATGGTATATACATACAATGGAGTATTATGCAGCCTTGAAAAAGAAGGGAATTTTGCAATATGGCACGACACTGATGGACCTTGAGGACATTAAGCTAAATGAAATAAGCCAATCACAGAAAGACAAATACTGCAAGATTCCACTTACATGAGGTATCTGAAATAGTCACGTTCATAGAATCAAAGAGAGAAATGGTGGCTTCAGGCGCTGGAGGCAAGGGGAAACAGGGGAGTTGCTGTGAAATGAGCATAATATTCTACTCAAACAAGATGAATAAGCTCAGAGATTTTCTGTATAATATTCTACCTAGAGCTGACAATGTACGGTGCACTTAAAAGCTTAAGTGGGTAGATCTCATGTTACATGTTCTTACCATATTAAGAGAAAACAAACAAAAGATACTGTTGTGTTGGAGAATTCTCACAATGGCTGAATTGGCCTCCACTGAGCCTCAGAGATAGTGGCAAAAGGAAACGGGGAGGCTCCTCTCTGGGAGCAGTTTTGTAGAGTTGAGGGAGGGGAACCTTGAATGAACATAATACTTGGGGAGAGTGTTGAGGGAGAGGACAGAAAACACAAGTCATTGAGAGTGCCCCTGCGATGTTTATGCCTATTTTACTGCTCTTTTCGACGAATAGCTTTAAGTTTAATTGATCAACAAGTTTTGAATTTTTCATTTAGGTGTCCTTTCAAATTTTCCGCATTCCTATTTATTCATTTCTTTGTTATGCTTTTTGGGGGAGGCTTATTTTGTTGTTCTTTAATTTCTTGAGTTGAAAGTTTATTTCATGTATTTTTAGCCTTTTTGGTTTTCTAATGAATATATTTAAGGCTCTGAATTTTTTTCTGAGTACTGCTTTAGTGGTGTGGTGCTAACTTTTTTTTTTTAACCCCTTGTTCTCGGTTTATTAACATCATGTTCAACATAATCCAATTATAACACTACCTACATATTGTTTTCTATTTATTTTTTATTTTTTTAGAGATGAGATTTCACCATGTTGGCCAGGCTGGTCTCAAACTCTTGACCTCAGGTGATCCACCTGCTTCGGCCTCCCAAAGTTCTGGGATTACAGACATGAGCCACTGTGCCAGGCCTACATATTGTTTATAAAATGGTTTTGAAGATTAATTTTTTAAAAACTAATTTATTTCTTTTTATTTATTTATTTTTGAGACAGGGTCTAGCTCTGTTACCCAGGCGGGAGTGCAGTGGTGTGATCATGGCTCACTGCAGCCTTGACTCCCTGGCCTCAGGTGATTCTCCCATCTCAGCCTCCTGAGAAACTGAGAATACAGAAATGTGCCACTATGCCCGGCTAATTTTTATATTTTTGTATTTTTTTTTGTTGTTGTTGTAGAGATGAGGTTTCATCATGTTGCCCAGGTTGATCTTGAACTCCTGTGCTGAAGCCATCCACGTACCTTGGCCTCCCAATGTGCTGGTATTACAGGTGTGACCTACCATACCCGGCTAAAAACTAATTTAAAACCACACCGTTACGGAGATACAATTTACACTGCATACAACTAACTAAGTCAAAGTGTGCATTTTCATGTTCTTAAAAGTATATTCACAAAGTTAGTAACCATCAACATAATTTCATTTTAGATTTGTCATCTCTAAAAGAAACTCATCCTTTCCCTCCTGCAACTTTCCCTACCTTTAAGCCACGAGTAATCTCCTTTTTGTCTTTATGTATTTGCCTATTCTAGAAATTTCATATAAATGGAATCATATAATATGCTGCCTTTTGTGACTGGCTGCTCTCATTTAGCAAAATGTTTTCAAAGTTCATCCATATTGTAGTGCTTCAGTCCTTGCTTTGGGGGGAATAATATTCCATTCTATGAATATAATATATTTAAAAAAATCTATTTGTTATTGGTAAATACTAGAGTTTCTACTTTTTGGTTATTATGAGTAATAATGCTAAAAATATTGTATACAAGTTCTTGAGTTGAATGTATGCTTTTATTTCTCTTGGTTATATACCTAGGAGTGGAATTGTTAAGTCACATAGTAACTCTATGTTTAATTTTTTGAGACATTGCAAAACTTTTTTCCAAGGCAGCTGCACCATTAAAATTCTCATCACCAATGCATGAGGATTTAATGTCTCCACATTGTTATCAACATTTGTTACTATTTGGAGCCATCCTAATGGGTGTGAAGTGGTATTTCACGTGATTCTGAGTTGCATGTCTCTAATGACTAATAATGTTGACCATCTTTTCATGTGCTTACTGACCATTTGTACATCTTCTTTGGAAATATATCTATTCATATCTTTTGCCCATTTTAAATCTTCCATTATTTGTCTTTTTATTATTACATCATAAGAGCTCTTTATACCTTCTAGATGCAAATATTTTATCAGACATGTGATTTGAACGTATTTTCTACTATTCTGTTGTCTTTCATTTTCTTAATAACAACCTGTGAAGCCAAAAGTTTTGATTTTGATGAAGTCTAAATTATCATTATTCTTTATTTTGTTGTGTGTACTTTTGATGTCATAGCTAAGAAACAATTGCCTAATCCAATGTCATGAAGATTTATGCCTCTGCCTGATTTCTCTCTTTCTTCTGTCTTTCTCACTTTCTCTCTCTTTCTTTCTCTTTCTTTCTTTCCTTCTATCTTTCTTCTTTTCTTTCTTTCTTTCCTTTCTTCCCCGCCCTCCCTCCCTCCCTCCCTTCGTTCCTCCCTTCCTTCCTTCCTTCCTTCTTTCCTCCCTCCCTCCCTCTCTCTCTCTTTCTCCTTCCTTCCTTCCTTCCTTCCTTCCTTCCTTCCTTCCTTCCTTCCTTCTCCCTTCCTCCCTCCCTCCCTCCCTCCCTCCCTCCCTCCCTCCCTCCCTTCCTTCCTTCCTTCCTTCCTCCCTCCCTCCCTCCCTCCCTCCCTTCCTTTCTTTCCTTTCTTTCTTTCTCTTCCTGCCTTCCTGCCTTCCTGCCTTCTTTCCTCTCTTCTTTCTTTCTCATCTTGTTATGTTGCCCAGGTGGATCTTAAACTCCTGGGTTTAAGTGATCGTCCCATCTCAGCCTCCTAAGTAGCTGGGGCTACAGGCATGTGACACTGTGCCTGGATTAAGACTTTTATAACTTTAGCTTTTCCATTTAGGTCATTGAACTGTTTTGAGTTAATATTTGTATAGTGTGAGGTAGGTGTCTAACCTATTTCTTTTGCCTGCGGCTATCCAGTTGCTCCAGCACAATTTGTTGAGGAGACTCTTCTTTTTTCCATTGAATTTTCTTGTTACCCTTGTCAATATCAACTGACTATACATTTCTGAAGTTTGTTTCTGAATTCTCAATTGCATTCTGTTGATCCAAGTTTATTCTTATTCTAGTAGTCACCATTGTTTTGATCTCCTTTCTGTGTCTTAGATTAATCTTTTCCCCCGTTGAACATCTCCAGCAATGTTTTACATAAGTTTGTGATTAACAACGTTATAAGTGTGATAATGTGTTTATTTGCTCTTACACTTTGGCTGGGCTTAGAAATATTTGTATTTTGACCTTTGATATGGTTTGGGTATTTGTCCCTCCCAAATCTGATGTTGAAATGTAGTCACCAGTGTTGGAGGTTGGGCCTAACGGTAAGTATTTGGGTCATGGGGGCGGATCCCTCATGGCTTGGTGCTGTCCTTGTGATAGTGAGCGAATTCTCATGAGATCTGGTTGTTTAAAAGTGAGTGGCACCTCCTCTCTCTCTCTTGTTTCTGCTTTTGCCAAGTGATGTGCCTGCTCCTGCTTCACCTTCCACCATGAGTAAAAGCTCCCTGAGGCCTCACCAGAAGCTTAGCAGATGCAGGTGCCATGACTCCTGTATAGCCTGCAGAACTGTAAGCCAATTAAACCTCTTTTCTTGATAAATTACTCAGCCTCAGATATGTTTTATAGCAGTTCAAGAATGGCCTAATACAACCTTTGAGATGTCTGTTTCACTGTCATCTTTGCTTCAGAGTTACTGAAGAAAAGTCTAATGATCTCATTTTGTTTTCTTAGTTGATAACTGATTTTTATTTTATCTCTTTCTCTGCAAGACCTTCAGATTTTCTCTTTATATTTAGTGTTCTGAAATTTTTACAGTACTGCTTTGTGTGATTCATTTTTTATTCATCTTTTGTCTTTTCAATCTGAGGGTTTTTGTTTATTCTGGAGTATTTCTTTATTATTGCTCTGAGTATCACCTTTCTTCCATTCTATTCTTTCTTTCAGGCACTCATATTTTCAAATATTAGAATTTTTGGATCTGGTCTAAAAAGGAAATAAAAAAAAGCAATAATCAGACTAGAATAAGAGGGGTACACTTGACAGTCCAAGAAATAAAAGAAAGCCCTGACATGCCAAACAGATGTTACGAGATGAACTTGTACGAGAGAAATACTACCCACTAAGTGCACAGGGAGGGGCGTTAGAAAGGAGGCAGCTCTTCCAGAAGTGCCTCTAGTTAGAAGTGGGACTGAGTGGACAGTGGAGAGCAGGACTGGTGGAAGGACAGCTTCAAGAAGAGACAGACAGTGGTACATGGCAAGGAGCAAGACTGCCATCCTGCAGGGGACACTGAGTCCGGGGAATTGGTTTGGACAGGCATGAAGTGCCCTGGCAGGCTGGCATCACCAAAGAGTAATTGAGAACACCATACCCCAAAGTTAGTAATGACGTCACTCTATGGCAACGCATCCCATCTTCCTCACATCTCTACCGACAGGTTTTCATAAATAGTGTTCACAGACAAGCTAATGAGCAAGTTCAAAAGAAAAGATAAGCGTGTGGTCAGGTACAGTGGTTTATGCTTGTAATCCTAGCACTTTGTGAGGCCAAGGTGGGAGGATCACTGGAGCCCAAGATTCAAGACCATCTGGGTAACATGGTGAGACTCCATCTCTACAAAAAAGAAGAAAAAATTAGCGGGTGTTGTGGTGTGCACCTGTAGCTCCTGCTACTTGGGAGGCTGAGGTGGAAGGATGGCTTGAGCCTGGCAGGTAGAGCCTACAGTGATCTTGCTACTGTACTCCAGCCTGGGTGACAGAGCAAGGCTAAGCATCTTAGGAGGAGAGAGAGGGGGAATTATCACCAAAGAAAAAAGTTTCAAATCAACAAACATAAAAAAATACAGAGTTAATAAAAAAATAGAACCAGATCTTAGAATAGGTATGGTTAAAAACCTATAAACACCTCAGGGAGATGTGAGTGATACTGCATCTATAAGAGAGAAACAAGTAGAGACTTAGAAAATACAAATTTCATGTTAAGAAACAGAAAAAAATTAGTAGATGAGATGAATAACAGACTAATGGAACAGGTGAGTGGTAAGTTAGTGAGCTTGAAGATCAGGTCAAAGAATTTTCCCAGAATGCCGCTGAACTGAACTTGACCATTTTCTTTCTTGTCATTTTTAGGGTTGTGGATTTGGGAAGAAGTGGTTCAGTCCACCACCTTGTTTTCCTCCTACCTAATTTAAATCGATGCCATGAAAGCCATCATAGAGATGTTTTGTGAAAATCAAAAGAAAAATCATGAGAGAATTATCCAATCCTGTGAATTATGGAAATAAGATTTCCTCTTTCATTCTGACTATGTGGTTTCCAAAAATAACACACCAACATAACAAGTATTTGTTCAGAGTATTCTGTATGCCAGACATGATGATAGATTTTGATGATAGAGTGATGAATAAAACAACCTCAGCCTTGCAGAACCCTTTGCATGATCTAGGAGTTTGAGAACAGAGTAAGAACTTTCTACCATTCAGTGTCTTATTACTAATACCGAACATTTGCATGGAAATTTGCAAAGTGCTTTTTTTTTTTTTTTTTTTTTTTTTTTTGAGACAGAGCTCATTCAGTCACCCAGGCTGGAGTGAAATGGTGCGATCTCGGCTTACTGCAACCTCCACCTCCCAGGTTCAAGCGATTCTCCTACCTCAGCCTCCTGAGTAGCTGGAATTACAGATGCACACCACCCACACCCAGCTAATTTTTGTATTTTTAGTAGAGATGGGGTTTCACCATGTTGGCCAGGCTGGTCTCAAATGCCTGACCTCAGGTGATCCACCCACCTCGGTCTCCCAAAGTGCTGGGATTACAGGTGTGAGCCACTGTGCCCCGCTGCAAAGTGCTTTTAAATACAAAAGTCATTTTGGTTGACTGGGCTGGTTTCATGATTTTGCAGTTGTGAATTGTGCTGCTATAAACATGCGTGTGCAAGTATCATTTTTGTATAATGACTTCTTTTCCATTGGGTAGATACCCAGTATTGGGATTGCTGGATCAAATGGTAGTTCTACTTTTGGTTCTTTAAAAAATCTCCACACTTGTTTCTATAGCGGGTTGTACTTGCTTATATTCCCACCAGCAGTGTAGAAGTGTTTCCTGATTACCACATCCATGCCAACATCTACCGTTTTTTTATTTTTTGATTGTGGCCATTCTTGCAGGCGTAAGGTGGTATGGCATTGTGGCTTTGATTTGCATTTCTCTGATCATTAGTGATGCTGAGCATTTTTTTCATATGCTTGTTGGTCATTTGTATATCTTCCTCTGAGAATTGTCTATTCATGTCCTTACCCATTTTCTGATGGGATTGTTTTTTCTTGCTGATTTGTTTGAGTTCACTGTAGATTTTGGATATCAGTCTTTTGTCAGATGTATAGATTGTGAGGATTTTCTCTCACTCTGTGGGTTGTCTTTTTACTCTGCTGACTGTTCCTTTTGCAGTGCAAAAGCTCTTTAGTTTAATTAGGTCCCATTTATCTTTGTTTTTATTGCATTTCCTTTTGGGTTCTTGGTCATGAAATCCTTGCCTAAGCCAATGTCTAGAAGGGTTTTTCCAATGTTATCTTCTAGAATTTTTATAGTTTCAGGTATGAAAGTCCTTAATTCATCTTGAGTTGATTTTTGTATAAGGTGAGAAATGAGAATCCAGTTTCATTCTCCTACATGTGACTAGCCAATTATCCCAGCACCATTTGTTGAAAAGGGAGTGTCCTTTTCCCACTTTATGTTTTTGTTTGCTTTGTCAAAGATCAGTTGACTGTAAGTATTTGGGTTTATTTCTGGGTTCTCTATTCTGTTCCATTGGTCTATGTGCCTATTTTTATGCCCTGATGTTTTGGCGACTATGGCCTTATAGTATAGTTTGAAATCTGGTAGTGTGATGCCTCCAGATTTGTTCTTTTTGCTTAGTCTTGCTTTGGCTATGGAGGCTTTTTTTGGGTTCCATATGAATTTTAGAATTGTTTTTTTCAAATTCTGTGAAGAACGATGGTGGTATCTTAATAGGGATTGCATTGAATTTGTAGATAGCTTTTGGTAGTATGGTAATTTTCACAATATTGGATCTACTCATGCATGAGCATGGGATGTATTTCTGTTTGTTTGTGTCATCTATGATTTCTTTTGGCAGTGTTTTGTGGTTTTCCTTGTAGCGGTCTTTTACCTTCTTGGTTAGGTATATTCCTAAGTATTTTATTTTATTTTTTGCATTTATTGTAAAAGAGGTTGAGTTCTTGATTTGATTCTCAGCTTGGTCACTGTTGGTGCATAGAAGAGCTACTGATTTGTGTACATGAATCTTGTACCTGGAAACTGCTGAATTATTTTATCAGTTCTAGGAGATTTCTGGAGGATTCTTTAGGGCTTTTGAGGTAAACAATCATATTGTCAGTAAACAGTGGCAATTTCACTTCCTCCTTACTGATTTAGATGCCCTTTATTTTTTTTTCTCTTGTCGATTGCTCTGGATAGGACTTCCATTAGTATGTTGAAGAGAAGTAGTGAAAATGTATTATGTTGGCTGTGGGTTTGTCATAGACGGCTCTTATTACATTGAGGTATGTCCCTTGTATGACGATTTTGATGAGAGTTTTAATCATAAAGTGATACTAGATTTTGTAAAATGCCTTTTCTGCATCTATTGAGATGAGTATGTGATTTTTGTTTTTAATTCTGTTTATGTGGTGTATGACATTTATTGATTCATGTATGTTAAACCATCCCTGCATCCCTGGTATGAAACCCACTTGATCATGATGAATTATCTTTTTGATATGTTGTTGGATTCAGTTAGCTAGCATTTTGTTAAGGATTTTAGCATCTATGTTCATCAGGGATATTGGTCTGTAGTTTTTTTCTGTTTTTTTTTTTTTTTTTTTGGTTATGTCCTTTCCTGGTTTTCATATTAAAGTGATGCTGGCTTCATGGAATGAATTAGGGATGGTTCCTTCTTTCTCTATCCTGTGGAATAGTGTCAATAGGATTGCACCAATTCTTCTTTGAATGTCTGGTAAAATTCTGCTGTGAATCTGTCTGGGTCCTGGACTTGTTTTTGTTGGTAATTTTAAAATTACCATTTCAATCTTGCTGCTTGTTATTGGTCTGTTCGGGGTATCTAATTCTTCCTGATTTAAGCTAGGGTGGTTTTATATTTTCAGGAATTTATCCAACTCTTCTAGGTTTTCTAGTTTATGTGTGTAAATGCGTTCATAGTAGCCTTGAATGACCTTTTGAATTTCTGTGGTGTCAGTTGTAATACATTCTGTTTCATTTCTTATTGAATTTGAAGGTTATTTGGAACTTCTGTCTTACTTTCTTGGTTAATCTTGCTAATGGTCTATCAATTTTATTTATCTTCTCAAATAACCAGCTTTTTGTTTCATTTGTCTTTTGTATTTTTTTTGTTTGTTTGTTTCAATTTCATTTGGTTCTACTCTGATCTTAGTTATTTCCTTTCTTCTGCTGGGCTTGGGTTTGGTTTGTTCTTGTTCCTCTAATTCCTTGAGGTGTGATCTTAGAATGTCAGTTTGTGCTCTTTAGGTCTTTTTGATGTGGGTGTTTAGGGATAGGAACTTTCCTCTTGACACTGCCTTTGCTGTATCCCAGAGGTTTTGATAGGTTTTGTCACTATTGTTGTTCAGTTCAAAGAATTTTTAAATTTCCATCTTGATTTTGTTTTTGACCCAATGATCGTTTAGGAGAAGGTTATTTAATTTTCATGTCTTTGCATGGTTTTCAAGGTTCCTTTTGGAGTCAGTTTCCAGTTTTATTCCACTGTGGTCTGAGAGAGTGCTTGATATAATTTCAATTTTCTTAAATTTATTGAGGCTCATTTTGTGGTCTATCATATGGTCCGTTTTAGAGAAAGTTCCATACACTGTTGAATAGAATGTGTATTTTGTGGTTGTTGAATGGAATGTTCTGTATATATCTGTTAAGTCCATGTGTTCCAAGGTGTAGTTTAAATCCATTGTTTCTTTGTTGACTTTCCAACTTGATGGCCTGTCTAGTGCTGTCAGTGGAGTGTTGAAGTCTCCCACTATTATTGTGTGCTGTCTATCTCATTTCTTAGGTCTATTAGTAATTATTTATAAATTTGGGAGCTCCAGTGTTAGATGCATATATGTTTAGTATTGTGATGTTTTCCTGTTGGACACGGTCTTTTGCCATTATGTAATGTTCCTCTTTGACTTTTTTAAACAGCTATTGCTTTAAAGTTTGTTTTGTCTGATATAAGAATAGCTACCCCTACTTGCTTTTGGTGTCCATTTGCAGCACGAAATGTCCTTTTCCATCCCTTTACTTTAAGTTTATGTGAGTCCTTATGTGTTAGGTAAGTCTCTTGAAGGCAGCATAATTGGTTGGTCAATTCTTATCCATTCTGCAGTTCTGAATCTTTTAAGTGGCGCATTTAGGCCATTTACATTCAATGTTAGTATTGAAATGTGAGGTACCATTGCATTTATTATGGTTTTTATTGCCTGTGTGCCTTGGTTTTTCGTTCTTCGTTTTTGCTTTTTAAATTGTATTTTTCTTTTATAGGTCCTGTGTTATGCTTTAAAGAGGTTCTGTTTTGGTGTGTTTCCAGGAATTGTTTCAAGGTTTAGAGCTCCTTTTAGTAGTTCTTGTAGTGGTGGCTTGGTAGTGGCAAATTCTCTCATCATTTATTTGTCTGGAAAAGACTATATTTTTCCTTCATATATGATGCTTAGTTTCACTGGATATAAAATTCTTGGCTGATAGTTGTTTTGTTTGAGGAGGCTAAAGATAAGGCCCCAATCCGTTCTAGCTTGTAGGATTTCTGCTGAGAAATATGCTGTTAATCTGAGAAGTTTTCCTTTATAGATTACCTGGCGCTTTTGTCTCACCGCTCTTCAGATTCTTTCCTTTGTCTTAACTTTAGATAACCTGATAACAACGTGCCTATGTGATAATCTTTTTGTGATGAATTTCCCAGTTGTTCTTCTTTGTGCTTCTTGTATTTGCACATCTAGGTCCGTAGCAAGACTGGGGAAGTTTTTCTTGATTATTTTCCCAAATATGTTTTCCAAACTTTCAGATTTCACTTATTCCTCAGGAACACCAATTATTCTTAGGTTTGGTCATTCAACATAATCTAAGATTTGTTGGAGGCCTTGTTAATATTTTTCTATTCTTTTTCCTTTGTCTTTTTTGGATTGGGTTAATTTGAAGACTTTGTCTTTGAGCTCTGGATTTCTTTCTTTTGCCTCTTCACTTCTATTGCTGAGACTTTC